GGGGGGAAGAAAGTAATGTAAGCGTCTCTTCTGCAGCCTCTCCGGGTGCTGCCTGAAAGCCCCTTCTGTCCTGCTGAGGGAATCAGCATGGCTGGATGCTCAGGGGCAGCTAAGAACAAAGAAATGGGCGGGAGTTCACGGCAGATAATGCTGTATCCCAATAAACAGCCCACAGACCTTGCAGCTGGTATGGAGGTTCCTCAGAAAACTGAAAATAGAACTACTATGTGATCCAGCAATGCCACTCTGGGGATACATCCAAAGGAAATGAAATCAAGATCTGGAAGGGATGTCTGCACCCATGTGCATTGCGGTGTCATTCACAACAGCCAAGATATGGGAACAATATGAGTGTCCATCAACGGATGAATGGATAAAGAAAATGCAGTGTATACGTATATGAGTGTGTATATATATATGTGTGTGTGTGTATATATATGTATATTATATATATATGTATATACACAATGGGATATTATTCAGTCCTAAAAAAAGAAGAAAATCCTGTCATTTGTGACAACATGGGTGAACCTGGAGGATATTACACAAAGTGAAATAAGCCAGACACAGAAAGGCCATTATTGAATAATTTCACTTATATGTAGAATAAAAAGAAAGAAAAAAAGAAGTTGAACTCACAGAAACACAGAGTAGTAACACAGAGTAGAGTGGTGAGTAACAGAGGCTGGGGGGTGGGGAAAAAGAAGAGATATTGATCAAATGTTACAAACTGTCGGTCATTGGATGAATAACTTCTACAGTCCTAATGTGCAATGTGGCGATTGTAGTTGATAATAATGAAATGTGTTATACACTTGAAATGTACTAAGAGATGTTAAGTGCTCTCACCACACACACACACACACACACACACACACACACAAATGGTAACTATGTGAGGAGATGGATGTGTTAATTCGCTTGAGTGTGGTGATCTTTTCCGAATGTGCATATATATCACAACATCAAGATGTATACCTTAAATGTATAAGATTCCTATTTGTCAATTATGCCCCAATAAAGCTGGGAAGAAAAGAATAAAAGTTTCTAATTTAGTGATTTTTTTTTACAGAAGTTAAGAATTTGCAGCTAATACGAGGCCTAAAAAATATTAGTGGGAGACACAGTGGATATCCATTCTGCAAAGAGTTTTATAATGTTAATAATTATATATTAGCTGGAGAAGGGAATATTGCATGTTACAAACTGAATAATAACTATGACTTACAAAATGCAGCAAGATCTGTTAAAATCCTTACAAGATGGTAGGGTTTAGGAGAACTAAATGTGAGACTTTAGACACAAGGTGTGTTCAGTGATGTGGCTCATGTCAGACCCTCAGCACCCACCACCCTTAAGGTGAGAAGTTGGTCATCTTCCGGTGTGACAGGCAGCTTGTGGACTGTACAAACTGTGGTGTGGGGACCCTGCCAACCACATCCTGTGAATTTGTCGGCTTTGCTCAACCCCTGCCTCCTGTCCAACAGAAGCAGCCCCATGTCACCCAAATTCTTCAGCCTCCAGGGCCTTGGTGAGTCCTGGAAGGGAAGGGAGGAGGGGGTCATGGTGGGAATCTGGGCCTTTTCATGGCACATGACCAGGTTCTGTGGATGGGGGCATCGAAACCTGGGATCCGTTGGGGACGAATCATCTGTGATGTGGTTTCCTTCCAGGATTCTGTCTGAGCCAGAGGATCTGGGCACACATGGGTGAGTGCTCCCCATTCCCTCATTACTGTGTGGACCAAACACAGTGTGTTTTATTCATGGCTGTGGGGGAGCAGGGGAGTTGGGGCTGATGGGATGACACTGGGGGACCCATGGTGAGACTTCTGGAAATACAAGGAGGGCAGCATGCCCTGTGGATCCTAGGTTCTTATTTTGTCCTGGAGACTCTGTCTACACACTCCCCAGAGGCTAACCAAGCTCTGTATTCACCTGAAGGAGGATGTGAATTTCTGAAACTGGGGTCAGGGAAGATGACTGTCATCTCTACAATGAGATGGCAACAAAATACTGGACCCACAGAGCCCTCCCAGGAGCAGGACCACACACTGTCCTTGAAATTAGGATCTGTGGGGCCTCCCGCTGACCTTCCTCAAGGGAAGGGACTGGTCAGCAGTCATGGCCACCTGGACCTTGGGGCACACTCTGATGTAGGAGAACTTAACAAAAGATCAGGGTTCGTATTTCACCTCATTTTCATCAAGTAGAGCCTGGTCCTCTCTCCCTTGTATAATTGTTGTCATTTAAAATTGTGTTTCAAGAAAAACTGTTCAAGATTTTATCGACACTCTTGCACAAGCAACAAAATCAAGAGGAAACAAGTGGATATACACTGGAATATTATTCAGCCATAAAAAAATAAGGAAATCCTGCCATTTGTGACAACAGGGATGGACCTTGAGGGCATTACTCTAAGTAAAATAAGTCAGACAGAGAAAGACAAATACTGTATGATCTCACTTATATGTGGAATTAAAAAAACAAACTCATAGAAAAAGAGATTAGATCTGTGTGAACCAGAGGCAGGGAGAGCAGAGACAGAATTGGATGAAGGTGGCTAAAAGGTATAAACTTCCAGTTATATGATAAATAAGTGCTGGGGATGGAAGGTTCAAAATGATGACTATAGTTAGCACTGTTGTATGGTGTACCTGAAAGTTTTTAAGAGAATAGATCCTGAGAGTTCTCATTACAGGAAAAAAAATGTTGTTTTTTCATCTATATGAGATAATGGATGTTAACTAAACTTATTGTGGTGATCATTTCACAAGATATGTAAGTCAAGTCATTATGCTGTAAACCATAAACTTCTACAGTGCTGTATGTCAATTATATCTCTATAAAACTGGATGATAGATCGATGGATTGATTGACTAATGTGTGAGTCAGTAAACACATACGTACATACACACATACATATAAATTGTGGCACTGCCACTTCCTGAATGAGTTGATGATCTTTATCAGGCTACTTCCCCTCTTGTTCTCATACATATAACATGTATATCATATATATAGCATGTATATATCATATATGATATATACATATATCCCTATCCACAAGCAGGAGCTCTGATGAGGACCATTCTTGTCTAAAACCTGAAATCTGAAGAACGGTCCCCACAGTTTGAAGTGGAGAGCGACACCCAGCATCAAAAGATTCTCTGAAGGGATAGAGTGGACTCAAACTATTCACCCCAAGATAATAGAGAGAGAGGTCCTGCTTCTCACAGAAACCATCATGTCAGTCAGGGGGCTGTTTGTGAGAAGTGAAACCCACATTCTAGGCCCAAGAGAAAGAGCTGTGCTTTCCTGGGGGAGCAGAAGCATATTGTACCAAACTCCCCAGGCACCTCCATCCCCACCACCCCTCGGTTCACCATGTCTCTGAGGGCACCATTGACGTCTCCGGTCAACCAAGGCAGGAGGTGAAGGTCGCCCTCCCTTCCTTGTCTCTGACACCTATTAGTCAATCACCCAATAAAAACCATTCAGACTCCAGAATTCCCCTGACCCCTGCTGTCCACCCCACCCACAGAGTCCAGCCTACAGCCCACATCTAGACACATCTGGCCTGTGTGGTCACACCCACCACTTTCCTGGTTTCTGAGCTCCAGGCCCACCCTCCCTTCTCCAGTTCACCCTCCACATGTCAGTCTTTCTAACATCCATTTCAGAGTCTGTCCCTTCCCTGCCCCAAATCCTTCCATGGTCCTTGCTGTCTTCAGGGTGAACTCTAAACTCTTCTCTCTGAACTCGAGGCTATTCATGATCAGTCCAGATGTAACCCTCCACCCTCAGCTCTCAGTTCTCCTTTCCTCCAAACAGAGAGTGCAGTCACACCAGAAATACACACACACACTCACACACACTCACACACACACTCAGACAATGGGGCCATTTAACATTTCTGTGCTTTCCCACATCAGCTCTCCTGCAGAGCTTGGACCCAACAAATTTCTTCCCAACTCTCAGTCCAAAAGAGACACCAAAGGTAAACTCTGTATCATTTCTATCCTCTGTTAAAGTGTTATTGTCTCATTAAGGGGTGTGTGAATTAATTATGAGAAATCCAAAAAAATCATTTACAATACTGGTTGACACACCAGTATGGGAGTAATTGGAGTTCAACTACTGTTCTTTCTTTCTTTATTTGTTTTTAATATTTTCATTTCTATTTGATATATATAGCTAATATGACCTTCATAAAAATCACTTATCATAACATCCTTTGCTTATATATTCTATTACTCTTAAAAATAAAATCCAATGTCCTTGTATGGTGGACACCACTCTACATGACCAGTCACCACCTTCCCCTCTCTTCCTCCCTTTCAGACATTCTATGTGTCTCTAGGGTTCTCTAGAACGTCCTTTCATCTCTAGACAGTGCTCATAGTTGTCCCATCCCATAGGTCTCCCCCTCCTCAAACAGCTGTTCCCTCAACCATAGCCAAGTCATGGTCTCCAGTTATTCTTTGTAAATTAATAAATTGAAATATCAGCATTTTAATGGCCATATACTGTTAATCTGAGTTCTCAAAATATACCAAATGGGTTTCACTGGATCACAGATGTATTTCTGGTGTCTTCCACCTATGCCTCGTACATATTAGGTGCTCAATAAATATTTGTTTATGGACTGGCCGAAGACAGAAAGTAAATTCCAGTTGTTGAGGCGCTGAGGAAATAAGTGGTGTGTCCTATGTAAAGCCAGCCTGTCAGAGGCCAGCTCAGGATGAGAACCTGGGTCCCCACCCCCCCGGATCGGGATTCAGGTCAGGCAGAAAGAGTCTTGGTGACCAGGCGTGACTTCAGCTCTGGGCTGAGATGTCTCCAGAGGGCCTGGAGTCCTCCTGAGCCCCTGCCCTGGAGAAAAGCAGAGCCAGGCCAAAATAGGGGCCATCAATTCCTGTGGGTCCACAGCTGTGGGAACCAGACTGGGTGGCAGCAGCCCCTGACTTACCACACCCTGTGCTTCTCTCTGTCTCTCAGGCCCCATGGTCTCCTCCATCTGCACAGCGTGAGAGCTCAGAGCAGGACCCATGACTTCCATCCTCTCTGCTCTTCTCTGCCTCGGTCAGTTGTGGAGAGTGGGAAGGGGACAGCAGCAGGGGATGGGGAGGCTCCACACCCCCTTGTTCATGGGGAACCTCAGGGCTCAGGTAGCTTGAGTGGACTGGGACCCTGACGTGATGAGAATCAGCTCAGACAGCCAGGTGCAGATTTCTCACAGGGACTCTCTTCCAGAGCTGAGTCTGGTTCCGAGGACCCGAGTGCAGGCAGGTGAGTCCTCCCCAGGCTGCCATGTCCCCACCTCTTACTTCAGCCCCTGAGCACTCAGGAGTGAGCCCAGCGATTCTGGGATGATGGTGATAAAACGAGGAGGGGCTGTGGGCTGAGCTGCAGAATGAGCGGTGGAGAAGGTATTGTGAGCCAGCGTCTGATTTCCTTCCAGGGACCCTCCCCAAACCCACCATCTAGGTCGAGCCAGGCTCTGTGGTCCCCTGGGGGAGGCCTGTGACCATCTTGTGTCAGGGGACCCTGGAGGCCCAGGAGTACCGTCTGGATAAAGTGGGAAACCCATCGTCCTGGCGCAGACAGAACCTATTGGGGCCTGAGGAAAAGGCCAGGTTCTCCATCCCACATATGAGAGACATCCACACAGGGAGATATTGCTGTTACTATTGAAGATCCACATATTGTTCAGAGCACAGTGACCCCCTGGAGCTGGTAGTGACAGGTGAGAAGACACTCAGGGTTCCCAGCCTCCGGCTCTGCCTTCAGGAAGGGGGTCTGCTCTCAGGGGTGTGTCTCCTCTCACAGCCCAGCCCAGCCCTGGGGGATATGAGGGAGGTGTGAGCCCCATTTAACACGCTGCCTCCTCCTCACCTAGGAATCTACAGCAAACCCACCCTCTCAGCCCTGCTGAGCCCTATGGTGCCCTCCTGTGGGGCTAACGGCTGGGATTCGGCAGGTTCATTCTGACTAAGGAAGGAGAACACAAGCCCTCCTGGACCCTGGACTCACAGCAACTTCCCAGGGGGCAGTTCCAAGCCCTGTTCCCTGTGGGCCCCATGTCCCCCAGCCTCAGGTGGACGTTCAGATGCTATGGCTGTTACAGGAACTACGCCCAGGTGTGGTCACACCCCAGTGACCCCCTGGAGCGCCTGATCCCAGGTGAGGAAGTCCCATCCTGCCCCATCCATGTTTTGAGGCAACAGACAGCTTATCGGGGTCTTTGCTTCTAGGGGAGGCCCAGATGAGCCACGGCGGGAAAGGAGCTCAGGGACCCTTGGACAATGGACACGGAGCTGTAAAGACAGTGAGACTAGAAATTCCAGCGAGGAAGATGGGAGGTTTGGGGAAGAATCAGCCCCAGGAATCCTCAGCTTGTCTTTCTCCCAGATGTATCTAGGGAGCCCTCCCTCCTGACCCAGGAGGGCCCTGTTGTGGCCTCTGGACAGAACCTGACCCTCCAGGGTCACTCTGATGTCGGCTATGACAGGGCCGTGCCCCTGTTCTTTCTGCGTCAGTCAGCTCAGGGCTCTGTCCCCCAGAGAGCTCTGGACTGGGATGGGAGTGAGGGGGCTCTGAGGGAGGGTCACCCAGAAAGGGATCTGCCCCTCAGAGTGCAGGAAAGAAGCAGGGCCCTCCCATGCCTGCCCCTTGCCAGGTCCCCATCTCCAGAATCCTCCAGGTGGGTGGAGGGAGAGCCTTGGGGACACAGGGCAGATGCAAGAGAAGAGAGTGAGCAGAGACGGGGTCTCTGCGGGAAGCTCCAGCCCCTCATCTCCTCTTGTCCTTTCTCCCATGATCCTCTGGGGACCCCACCTCCCCACCCACAAGACTCAACTTAACAGCTGGTGAGTCACAGGGGCCTCTGTCCAGAGAGGTCACACTTTCCCCAGGCCTGTCTCTTGAGACTCAGCTGATCTGACTCCCAGTTCCTCTCTCAGCACAGCTTGTCCCCCAGGGGGGCTGGGAGTCAGGCAGAAGTGAGGGTCCAGGGGGCTCCAGGGCTCTGAGGTTTGGGGGGATGTGGTTGGGGCAGTCGTGACAGAGGGACGTGTTGGGGCCCAGCCTGGAGGAGGGGCAGCCGGGATGAAGTGGGGAGAAGTAGCCCCCCCACCTCCATCCTGATCCCCAGGAGGTTCTGAAAGTCAACTCCCTCCTATGCGAGGGAGTCAGGTGTGCGGAGGGATAAAGGAGGGCCTCTGTGGAGAGGTGGTGGGTGGGTTCTTGGGAGTCGGGGGCTGAGTTATGTCATCAGGAGACCCTGACTTGGACATGCCTTCTCCTGTCTGGGCCTCAGTTTCTCCAAGTGTAAAGGAGAGAATCGTGGCCCAGGGCTTACATTTCCTTTCAGTTCTGACTATGGCTCTGACCTCCTGGGAGAGGAGGCCTCACGGGGAAGCCCCCCAGGATGTGATTTTATGGGGGCCTGTCCTCTATGCAGCAGTGATGGTGACATTGTACAGGGAAGGGAGGGGCAGGACAACAGTCAGGGGTGGTCAGGTCCTTTCCCTTCAGCTCAGGGTACACAGCTTGAGTGGAAAGTACAAGGTCTGGAATCAGCACCCCTGCAGTCTCAGCTCTGCCACTTGAGGCTGGGTGTTGTGGGGCACATGATTTACCTCTCTGTGCCTCAGTTTCCTCATCTGTGAAATGGGTGGGTGGGGGTGGCAGTCCCATGTTGCATGATGGTTGTGAGTGAAAGGAGATAATGCACAGACACTAGCACATGCCTGGCACACAGTAGGCGCTCAATTAAATAGCACCAGTGGATCATTCTTGACATAACTTGTGTCCAAGGACTCAAATGGTCCCTGAGTGCTCTGATCTCGGTCTTGTTGGCCTTCGTCCTGCTGTTCTCCCTCCTCCACTTCCACCTTTTCCTCCAACACCAGCTTCAGGGCAAACACAGGACCTCAGGTGAGTAGGGAACAGGGTGACCCGGGTGACAGGGGGAAGTGGGCTTAGGGCACCAGCAGAGGGAAACCCAATAGATGGAAAGGTGAGTTGAGAAAAACTTTTCCAGAATCTCAAATCAGAAAATCCTGAAGAAAACACTTAATACAGCACATGTGCACATTTAAGGTGTCTTTCAGCTTTTCAGTCTCATGAAATATTGAAACATACACACAAGTATAAATTAAGGTTCCCTCCTTTCCTCTTGAACCCCATGTGGAGGGCGGGTGGTCATGACCTCCCAGGGCTGAGACTCTGTCCATCGTGACCCAGTCCAGTGACAGGCTGATCTCCAACTTCCTGCAGGGGCTGCAGACCCAGAGCCCAAGGACAGAGGCCTGCAGATCAGGTAATTCCTGCCCCAAACACCCCAGACCCCCACCCTCCCTTGGCCCCTCTCTGCCCCTAACAATCCTATGTCCTCCCCCAGCTCCAGCCCAGCTGCTGACGCCCAGGAAGAGACCCTCTGTGAGAGGACAGGAGGGGCCACCCTAGGGGGTGGGCACAGAGATTTCAAGAGGCCATGGGGGATGGGCTGGGAGGGTCTGGCGATTTGGGGTGAGAAGGACTGAAATCCCACCCTGAGTGACCTTGGGCACATCTCGTCACCCCTGGATCTCAGTGGCCCATCTGGGAGCAGAGGGGGCCTGCAGCCCCGAGACATCTCAGGAATCCTGCCAAGAGACACAACCCCTGTTCTGCCCCAGCAGATGCTGCCGTGAAGGACACACAGCCTGAGGAGGGGGTGGATCTGGACCATCAGGTGAGACCCCTGCTCCTGTCCAGGCCACCAGGGACCTTTCTGTTGCCAAACTTAGTCCAATGGTCACTTCCTGTCCTCACATCCCCAGCTCTCAGCAGCATCCCACACTGACCTCTCCTCTCGGGCACCCTGGGTCATCCTGCTGTGACTTCACTCCTCCTGGCTTCTGTGACCTCATGGCTCCTCCCATGTGGCCCCCTTTCCTCGGTGCTCATCCTCTCTCTGACTTTCTAGTTGTTGGGGTTCACCCCCAGGTCTCCAGAGAATGCATGAATGAGTGAATCACCCAAATATCCCCTAGGCCCCCTTCATTCATTCCCCCAACAATGTGCAGAGGGAGCTCACTGTGTACCCGGCTCCATTCAGGTGCTGCAGGTACAGCAGTGAGAAAACTGTCTCCACACTCCTTGAGCTCACCTCCTGGGTGAGAGACAGCATGCAAATACGTGGGCTCCTAGAGTGCAAACTGCAGTTAAGGAAAATAAAGTAAGGAAAAGGGATAGAGTGCATGGGGGGGTGGCAGAGGAAACAGCAGATGCAAAGGTCCTGAGGCAGCAACATACTTTTTCAGGGAGATGGGACACATGGCTGGAGCCAAATGAGAGAGAGATAGCATGTTAGGATAAGAATCAGAACCGTAGAAAGCATCCAGATGTCCAAGGCTTAGGAAGTCCCTGAAGATTCCATCAGGACGTGACCTCACTCTGTAACAGGGTGGACAGTTGACTGGAGGAGGTCAGCACTGGGGTCAGGGAGACACTTTCTGTCCCTCTGTCTCCCTCCAGCAGGGCCCCCATGATGAAGACCCCCAGGGAGTGACAAACACCCAGGTGAACCACTCAAGATCAAGACTCAGGCAGGGAGTGGCCACTTCTCCTTCCCCCCTGTCAGAGGAATCACTGGACATGAAGGACAGACAAACAGAAGAGGACAGACAGATGGACAGACAGGTGGGTCGCATCCTCTCCAGACCCCCAGGCTGCCCCCACCCCAACCACATACCTATCCCCCACTCTCCCCCTGCTCCAGGCTACTGCATCTGAAGACCCCCAGGAAGTGACCTACGCCCAGCTGAACAGCTTGACCCTCAGGCGGGAGACAACACCCCCTTCCTCCCAGTCAGAGGAGCCCCCAGCAGAGCCCAGTGTGTATGCTGCTCTGGCCATCCACTAGCCCAGAAAGGACCCAGAGCCCTACCCTCCGGGGACGAAGGCTGCAGGGACCCCAGAAGGCACAGGAGCTGCCCCCAGTGGACACCTCCTAATGACCCCCAGCCAGCCTGGACTCCTAACGTGAGCCACCAGGAGCTTCTGCAACACTTTAGGAGTCACCCGATTCTGTGACAAAAGATAACTAATATCCTCACATTTTGGAAATAAAGCAGCAGACTTCTCAGTAATCCATGAGTGAAATAAGAAATCCAAAACCGAAGTGAGAGAATATTTTAAACTGAATGATAATATAAATAACACATATGAAATCTATAAAATGGGAAAATTAGGATGAATATGAATGAATATATTAGAAAAGAAAAAGCCTAAAAAATCAATGATCTAAGGTATTATATCAAAAATTTAGGAAAAAAAGGAATAACAAAATTAATCTAAATGAAGATAGAAGGAGAGAAATAATAATAAGACCAGCAACTAATGAGGACAAACAAAAAATAGAGGAAAATCAATAAAGCTATAAAAGTTCATTCTTGAAAACTTTAGTCAAACTTACAAAACCGAGTCAAGATGACCAAGAGAAAAAGAGAGAAGGCGCACATTTGTAATATAAGGAATGAAATTGCGGATGGCACTACAAATCCTATAGACTTCGTAACAGAACATTAAAAACAATTTGATGCTGGTATATTAGAAAATGTAGATAAAATGTACATCTTCAAGTGTACAGTTTACTAAATGGATGTAACAATAGAGAGAAAATATGTATCACCTTATGTATACATTAAATACATTGACTCTGTAATCAAAAATTTTCCCACAACTGAACAATGTGGAATCTGGAAAAGTCAGAGAAACGTAGGGAGTAGAATGGTGGTTGCCAGGGCTTGTGTGTTGGTGGAAATGACGATATGTCGGTCAAAGGGCACAAACTTCCAGTTATGAGATTAACAAGTCCTGGGGAGATAATGTACAGCATGATGACTATAGCTAATCAAACTGAATCACATTATTGAGCGGTGCTAGGAGAGCAGATCTTAAACGTTCTCAGTACAAAAAAAAGAAAAAGCAGCTATGTGTGAGGTGTTAGCTAAAGCTGTGGTTCTAATCATTCTGCAATATGTAAGTGTATCAGTTCAGAAGGCTTCACTGGTGATTTCTTCCAAATGCTTATGCACTTGGGAAACACACACAAACACCCCAAACTTATGCAAAATTTTTCTTAGAATAGAAGAACAAGAAATACACCCTAAATCAAGCTAGGAAAATATTGATGCCACAACCTGATAAGGAAATCACAAAATGAGAAGATCTCTCTCATAATCTTGGATGTAAATCACTAAACAAAATATACACAAGTAAGATTCAGTGATATATAAAAAAGTCATTACATCATGACCAACTGAGGTTGTTTGTTTTTTTTGGGGGGGGATAGAGTGCTTAAAATTTTAAAAATCAATCAACATAATCCAACACATTAGCAGAATAAGTAAAAAAAAAAAAGGTCATTTGACAGATGCAGGCAAAGCTATTGATAAAATACACCAAAAATTCATAATGAAAATAAAAACTCATCAGAAATAAAAGGGAATTTCCTATGAGTTGTAAAGGCATGCTTAAAAATCAACACTAGACATCATTTTTAATGGTGAGAACTTGAAGTCTTTCCCCCGTGATGGGAGTTATCCACGTGTGTCCATGTGAGCACGTCCAGTCAGCACGGCCCTGGAGGAAATAAAGCAAAACAAAGTGATAGGCACCTAAATGGATAAGAATAATATTATATTACTCAGATTATACAGTTGTGTGCATAGAAAATCCAAAATAGTATAAATACCTATTACTCAAATTAGAAAGGAATTCTCCAATATCATTGGATTCATGGTCAATATACAGAAATCAATCGTGTTTCAGATTTCCGGTTCTGGATCAAGATGAAGTAGAAAAATATCTCCCCATTCTTTGCCTTTGTATCAAGGAGCCTGATTTTATTCTTCTGACCTCCAGAATTGTAAGGGAATAAATCCGTGTTGTTTTAAGCCACTAAGATTAGTTGGTAACAGCAGCACTTGGAAACATTAATATAGCCACTTAAATTTTTTTTTTGATTAGTGTTTGTATACTACATTTGTCATCTTTCTACTTTGTTAATATGGTAAAATATACAAAACATAAACTTTACCATTTTAACCATGATGCAGGAGAAGAGCTTGAGTGAGGTGGGGACTCCAGGATCAGCCGCAGCCCCCCGCCCACAGGGCTCATCTCAACAACTGAGTTGAGTCACTGAGGCCACTTTGCTCAGTGGAAGAACAGACCACCCAGGGCAGTTCTGAGCATCTCTCAGAAGATGTAAGGCCCCCTCAGATTTACAAGCACAGGCTTGTCTCCTAGGCTAGCTGGGAGTTGGGCAAGATGTGGACGGGGACCACAGCACTCCAGGGGCTCTGAGGCTGGGCAGACGGTGGGTGGGGTGATCATGGCAGAGGGAGATGGTGGGGGCCCAGCCAAGGGGAGGAGCAGCCAGGCTGAAGTGGGAGGAATGGCATCCCTGCTCGCTCACATCTCCCACCATTGGTTTATGATATATGGGGTGGCATCCACTGGGGGGTCTCAGTGCTCCCTGAGATGGTGATTTTGGACACATCTCTTGTGCCAGAGCTCCTGGTCTCAGGTGGGGAACCCCTGTTCCTCTCTTCTCTGGGCTCAGGGCGTCTTCTCTGGGCCTCGACCACAGGAAAGTCTGAGACACCATGGAATAATTGAAGCACAGGAGGTTACACACACGAGGATCCAGCCTATGAAAGGGTGTAAATAGGCGGGAACCTCCCACCCCTGGCACAGCCCATCCCAGCAGTCTCAGAGGGGGCTGAGGATGGCAGTGGGATGGAATGGGACTCAGTGAACCTAAGAGAAAATGAAATTAGACTGGAATTTCAAGACAGAGGCCCCCACACCCGCTGACTTCCTGGTATCTCCATCTCAGAACCACAGCATCACTACTCACCAGGAGCCAGGAGCAGGGGAGATCCCACAGAGGTGTTCGGTCTAGGACTCCAGGTAGGAGGGACCCCTGGGAGGTGGGGTTGAGTCCATGTGGGCTCAGCTTTTCTGAGAGGTTGAACTTCTGAGAAACCCTTTCCTCATTTTAATAAGAGGGAGCTTATAGTATAGATAACAAAGATACTTGTTTGCTGATATTAATTTTATAATCCATCAACTTACTACAGATTCTCCACCTCTCCATATTTTTTCGATTGATCTCCTCTGACTTACTGATAATAATTATATCAACTTCAAGAACACTGAAATTTTACTTCTTTATTTCCAGATTGTGTACCCATTTTATTTGCATCAGATACCATATGATAATGATGACAAAGTAAAATGTTAAGATGTACCTCAGCGTCGCTTTAAGAAAACATCTTCATTTTAGCCCAAATTATTGTAAGGTAAACACTTCAAAAATCTATATTTTATATGTATATAATACTGTTAACCTATCCATGTCTAAAGTTAATTTTTCTGCTAGATTTAGCTTTTATTAAGAAAAAATATTATTTTATTAATATAAATTAGGAATTGGTTTCTGGACTTTTTTACAACCCCTGAATTTTTTTCTCTTTAATTTTAGCCATGGTGATATACAGGTAGAAGTCTTCTTAGTGTCAAGCATTAGGATAGTAATCCCACTGCATGACATTCATTGTTCATTCATAGTTTCTGACTTGTATAAGCTTATTTAGAATTTTTACATGGAGGTGTATGGTTAGAATCGATCTATAATTTGTTTTTATCTTTTTTGTTTTTGTGTTATAAATGGTTAAAATAGATTTGTATGTTTTTGTTCTCACCCAATTTTGTAATACCACTGATTTTCTCTGTTCCTCAAGGCTTTGAAGACCAGAACTGTGGACTTACTTGGTTCTGGATATAGAAAAGGGAGAGGTTAGAGGTTACTTTCTTTTTCACTCATTTATTTGGTGTTTATTGAGTGCCATTAACAATTACATGAATTTAATTTCAAAGAAGCTGGGAAATTCAAACAATTTTGCGACCCACGTTCTTAGGATTTTAGCATGAAAAAGTTCAAATATAAAATCAGATGACTAGTCTTCTCTCCTTGAAATCTTATAGAGGATTTCAGAGTTCTTTGAGACAGAGAAAAAGAGAGAGAGAAATGATGATGATGATGGTGATGATGATGATGATGATGGTGATGATGGTGATGATGAGGATGATGATGATGATGACGATGATGATGATGATGGAGCCTCTCTCATCTGTCCTGTCATTTCTGACCTTTCTCAAAAGCACCAAGCCCTCAAATCTCAGTTCCACCTTCTTCTCTGGACTCTCCCTACATCCCACAGACATGACTTTATTCCTTATTGAAGAACAGACTGAGGGCCGGCCCCGTGGCTTAGCGGTTAAGTGCGCGCACTCCGCTGCTGGCGGCCCGGGTTCGGATCCCGGGCGCGCACCGACGCACTGCTTCTCCGGCCATGCTGAGGCCGCGTCCCACATACAGCAACTAGAAGGATGTGAAACTGTGATGTACAACTACCTACTGGGGCTTTGGGGGAAAAATAAATTAAAAAATTATAATAAAAAAAAAAAAGAACAGACTGAGATCTTTCTGAGGACCTTGTCTCACTGCAGCCTGTGATGTGCCTCATCTGGGTCCTCACTTGGCTCCTCTCAGGCTCCTTCTCCTATTCAAGAATCAGCTTAAATCTCATCTCCAAGCATAATCTTCAATCTTACACTGTGCAGAACTGACTGCCTCCTTCTTATCTAATTTATTGCATGTAATTAACCCAACCTGCACTGTATGGGTTGAATTTTCTCTCTCTTACTCATATAGATATGAGAAACCCCTCATCCATGGTCCTGAGGTGTTGAATATATAGAAGTCCTCTTATCCAGAGAAGTTAACTGACATGGTCCATACCCAATAATGAACAGAGAGTGTACAGGAAATCAGTTATTTCTATATTTGGAGACCATTTTTATAAACAGTTCTGAACATTTGGGACACATCCAATCTCTGTTCCTAAGTGACTCAGAAGCAAATTCTAAACTGAAAAAAGAGAGAGACTGAGAGAATCCAATGAAAACAGAGGAAATCTATCTACAATTAAAAAAAAGGGTTATTAACGGACTGCATAAGTTATGTCACAAGAAATAGAGGGAATTAAAAGAACACAGGGGAAAGGCTTGAGTTGCATCAACTCCTCATCCATCCCCAAATATTTGGTTCTTAAGAGCAGCTGACTC